CTATTATTTCTGAGTCGTTTGTAGTTATGATTGTGTACGACATTGGTTTGAACATAAACTTTCATGCAAATCCCCTAAATACTTAGAATCTTTATTCTGAATATCACAGGAATATTCTAGACTAAATAAGCCCCAGTTTTTTCTGGCTTCGAAGAAATGGCTGTTGAAAGGAGGCGCTTGAATGCGCGAAAAATAGTGGCTTAAGAACCCTGAACCCACTTCTTAGAACAAATTATAGTAAGTTTTCCGGTCTAACTCATACACCTGTAGAGTGGCAAACTTAAGGCCATAACATTTTTCTGTGCGCCGGATTTCAAAACTTTGAGGAGTTTTGATGTTGAGGACATCTACAAAGGCACGTGTGTTTAGTTACTGCGCGATTATGGAATATAGTAATTTCCAAGGCTTAAGGAATGAAACTCGCTCCAATGTTTATATGGATTTATTGTTTACTTTTTTACCACGGAATCCACTCTACGTTACAATTAAGTCTTTTCGTGTCATAAAACTGTGTGAAGATGACTGTCTTCTGGGGTTTTGCGCCGTGTATTCCGATATAAATTGACCGACGTTTCGGAAGTGTTTACTGTCTTCAGTATTAGGCAATATCCCAGAAGACAAGTCATGTTCATTCTCGTCGCCGTGAGAAACTGTTATCTCACTAAGACCTGTGATTCTTCAGTGTCATTAATGTTTAACGAAGTACGTTGGAAGTAATTGATACTTCAATACAGTGTAATGTCTTTAAAGTTAATTAGTTTTGAAACGCTTAATTCACACAAAATCCCATGAGTTATTCATACGAGGTGCGATCGGAAAGTTTCAAGACTGTGTCAATAGCGGGCGAACCGGATGTAGTACGAGCTTCTGCCGCTAGGGGGTGCGGCCTACATTCATAGTGAATCAGTGTGTCAGCCGGCATCATCGAATTAGCATTCGTTTCTTAGTTACGGGCGTTTTGGTAGTGCATTACACCGACCCTCCTGCGATTTCGGAATGGCGTGTGCATCAAATTTTGCCAAAGACTCGCCAAAACGGCTACGGAAACCTATGAAATGCTAAAGCA